CACGAGCCTGTTTCAGGGCAGCACCCCCGCCCTGTCCATGGTGGGTCCAACCCCCGGCAGACAGAGGCTGCTCCATGGGAAGTGGACCAGCCTCTGTTTGCAGCCAGCGGGTGCTTCACAGCAGCTTCCACCCACCTCCATCCATGTGGAGCTTGGACTTCCACAGACAGCAGCTACAGCGTAGGGCAGCAGGCAGCTGGTCCACAAGAGGAGATCCCCTCACAGACCAGCTCCCGTCTGGCACTCTGCGCTGTGGCCTCTGATACATAGGCAGCAGTTTGGGATGGCAGGGGGCTCCCCGGGAGTGGGCTGTAGTGTGCTGGCTGCAGCCTGTGCTCCTGAGGACTATAGAATAGGCATGAAACAAATAAGAATTCAGTCAGTTACTCGACTATTCTGTTACCTGCTATCTAACATCTCTAGTCTGAGCACAGGTTCGGGATTCCTTATTCCCTGCATGGACATGGACTCTGGGGCCTTATCTGCTCTGAGGAAATTACATTGGTGTTAGTAGTAATGAGAATTTTATTTCCACTTTTCTGCAGCAAAGAAAGCCTGTTGAATTGTCTGCTTGAAGTTTAAAATGGTTCATTTTGAACCATTGTACTTTATAACAATGCATCATGTCCCCACTAGCCATTGTGTCTTGTATACACTTGGCCAGTGTGTCCTCTAATTGTGGCAGTGCATTGAGAGTACATATCCCACAGTTTCTAGCACAGGTCCTCAAGATGAGGCTTTGTGGAAGTAATAATCCACAGTTTTGAGAGTTGTCTATAGACTTTTGTGTTCCAGTGTAAAAATATCAATTGTATAAAGAGCACTGAGATTTAATAATATTACAAGCCTTAAAAGAACCTATACTGCACTTCATACAACAGAAAACTAATCTATGTGAAATGACAGAAGCTTCAATAGTTCAGATCCAGAGGAATTGAGTGCATAAGGTGCTCCACAGAGTGGTTTTTTAGGATGATGCAGGGGTAATAAGCTGGGAAGGCCAATTGTTATGGCTCAGCTGCAATACCAGCCCTTTGTTCACATGAGCATTTCCATGGTGCAGGGTGATCTGGGGCAGGATACAGAACTGAAGTTCCTTGCCCCAAACAGGTACAATTACAATAATGCTGACAGTATCTGTGTGGTTTTGCAAGTACTTTTGTGGATAGACATAGTGCAGTGGTCTCCAACCTTTTTACACCCAAGATCCACTTTTTAAATGTCAGGGTAAGCCAAGATCTACCCTATCCCTTCCTCAAGACCCCGACACTTCCCTGAGGCTCCACCTTCTCTGTTCCCCATCTCTCCATCATTTTCCGCCCCCCGCCCTTACTCACTCTCACTGGGTTGAGACAGGAGGTGCGGGCTCGGGGGTGGGAATGAGGGATTTGTGTTGGGTAGGGGGTGAGAGGTACAAGCTCTGGGAGGGAATCTGGATGCAGGAGGAGGTGGAGAAGAGAATGCTGGCTCAGGGAGGGGGTTCCAGGCTGGAGAATGTTGCAGTCAAGTGGAGTGCTGGGGTGTTGAGCAAACTGCAGGCTTGTGGATGTGAGGGTGCAGGAATTTGGGTTGGGGTGTATGAGAAGCACAGGGCAGGGAAGCTCAGAGTATGATGGACACAGGTTTGGAGTGTGTGGATGGTGCAGGAGTTTTGTGGCAGAAGACTGGGGATGTGGAGGTGCAGGAGTTTGGGGATGTGAGGGGCTCCGGGCAGGGGGTTCTGGTGTATGATGGGTTCCGGGTTGGAGTTTGTGAGGGATGCTGGAATGTTATGATACTGTGGCCAGATGGGGGTTTGGCCCCAATTGGGGGCTTGTTGGCCAGGCTTGATTTCAAATAAATATTATGTCCAATACAAAATGTTTCAGCATTGTCTTTATTTATAGGAGGGGCAGGGTACCTGTTTTGGGTCAGGGGCCACTGACCCACAGAAAAATCAGTCAGGGACCACACAAGTAAGATGCTAAAAAACAACCCCTTCAAAGCCCCCCAAGCCTCGCTGACTTGGCCCCAACTAAGACACCTCCCTCTCCTGGTACTCCAGCTCCGTGGGGGGTGGGTAGGTAGGACTGACGTTTAAGGCCTCAGGCCAGATTAACTCTTCTGGGGTTCCAGGGTTAGTGGATTTTGTGGGCCCCTCTACGCTCTATGGTGGGGCCAAAAATGAGGGATCCAGTCTGCGGGACAGGGCTGCCAGAGACTGGGATAGGGAATGGGGTGCAGAATCTGGGTGGAAAGTAGGGTACAGGAGCAAGCTGGGAGTAGGTGTCTGGCTAGGAGAGAGGGGGCAGAAGCAGGGTGCTAGTGGGGGGTCTGGCCAGGGGGCACGGTGCTGGTGGGGGCAGGGGTAGGGTGTTGGTGGGAGTCTGGGGAGGAAGCAGGGACAGCTCGGCCAGTACATAGGGGTCCCAAAGTTGTGTACCAGATCCTGCATCTCAGCAAGCATGCTCGCTGCTCCTCCCCTCCCCTCCCCAAAACAGCTGGTGCGCTTCCTGAGAAGTTGTATCTAGCGTACAGTTGGGGACTTCTTTCCCCATGCTGCCTTCCGTCCTTCCTACACGGGTTGGGGAGAGTCCCACAGCTGTGCTCCAGATCCGACTTTTCAGGAAGTGTGCACGCTGCTCCTCCTTTCCTCACAACAGCAGGCATGCTTCCTGAGAAGGCGGATCTGGTGCGCAGCCAGGGACTTCTCCCTTTCCCCCCACTCCCAGCCTCTGCCACAGGAAGGCAGGCAGCAGGGGGAAGGAAGTCCCCAGCTGCACGCCAGATCCTGCTTCTCAGGAAGTGCTCCAGAGGAGGAGCAGCGCGCACTTCCTGAGATGCCAGATCTGGCACACAGCTGTGGGGCTTCCCCCGCCACGCTGCAGAAAGCCAGCGCTAGCTCCATTTTCCCAGGAGGTTGTAGCACCAGCACAGGCTCCTTTGTGGGAGTTGGGGAAAATGGGGGTGGGGGCTGGAACATCTCATGATTAACTGGTCATGCCCCATGCAATTGACCAGTCGATCGTGATTAATGTGTTGGTAACCATGGACATAGTGTGTTACAAGCATGGCAGCTACTTGCAATACAAAAATTTCAAGGTGACAGAATTTCTGTGGCTTTGAATTTACCTTCTGTCAATCTTTACCAATTGCAGACTGGAGATTATAATTTCTCCCTGTGTGTGTGAGGATTAATTATTTTTTTTTAATCTCTGAAGATAATGTCCTGTATAAGGGCTAAGTATTTATTGGTATGGTAAATGTTTCCAAAGTTAATACATCAAGTGTCAGGCTACGTATACACTGGCAGCTTCTTGCGCAAGAACTCTTTTGCGGAAGAGTTCTTGTGCAAAAACTCTTCCACGAGAGAGCATCTACACTTTTCTTGCGCAAGAGCATCCATGGCAGTGTTAGATGCTCTCTTGCGCAAGAAAACTCTGATGGCCATTTTAACCATAAGGGCTTCTTGCGCAAGAAATTCATGTTGCCTGTCTACACTGGCCTCTTCTGGAAGAGCTCTTGCACAAGAGGGCTTCTTCCTGAGAGGGAACATCAGAGTTCTCGTGTAAGAAGCCCTGATTTTTCTACAGTACATCAGATTACTTGTGCAAGAACACGCGGCCAGTGTAGACAGGTGACATGTTTTTGTGCAAGAGCGGCCGCTTTCATGCAAGAACATAGCTTCGATGTATAAGGCAGACTGAACAGTAGTATCTTTAATGTCACGTTTTTCCTCCCAGCTTATCTAAAGCAAAGAAAGCCTGTTGAATTGTATGTTTGCAGTTTAAAATGGTTCAGTTTGAACATTGTAACAATGTCTCAAGTTCCTCACTAGCCATTGTGTCTTTTATACAAGGACTGATGATGGAGCAGTTGACGATTTACATCCCTAGTTCTCAGCTCTTGAGTGTTTCATAGACAGGTAGTGATATATAATCTAGCTGATTGCATTTCATATGGAACCACATTTTTTGCATGTCTTTGTTCCCCCCCTCGTCACAAGACTTACACCATGTTGCAGCAAACCAGGAAAACCCCTGTCTGCTCAGTGTGGCACATTTTCCTCCACTTGTGGTAGCTGGGCCAGCTGTAGAGATTGAGTCTGCAAGAGCCTGGACTAAGAGGGAGGTGCCTTTTGGCTCATGACTCAAGAGGTCCTAGGTATGTGCCTCTTGGATGACGTCTGAGGTGGTCAGTGCTACAGTTGTGTATTTTATTAGGGCAAAAGACAGTTTCTTAATTATACTGACATTTGGCACTTTCTCACCAAGGTAACAGAAATAATTAATCTTGGTAGACAATTATAGCATCTTCTCTGAGATCTGACCTGGAAGAAAAAATATCTCCACTTGCTAGGAATTCACCCCATTGCCTCCTATTGTCCTGTGTTTTTATACAGTGCCTACAAAATGGTATCCTAACCCAGAGAGTGGCCTGTATGTAATACTATGTATAACTATTAATTGTGATTAGAGCTAAGAGTTTAGAGTGTCATGGTGTTGCCATGGACTTGCTTTGTGCCCTTGGTTGATTTCCTTCCTGTGCTCTTTCTGTAAAATAGGGTTGCTGCCTACATGCCAAGAGAGGTTGAGGTATAACAGAGCAATATTTTTGATGTACTAATTTCTCTTCTGTGTCACTTTATTACAGTACAGTACAGTAACTCATAAGCAGGGCTCTGATTCTGTCTACTGTAGACTTCTAAGATCAGGGTCTATGTGCTGATGTAATTAGGTGGCAGAATTCATCCCTCAGGTTGTCCATTGGCTTTCATGATATTACACTGGGGAGGGATGATCCTGGCCCTCTGAATCTCATTCACTACTTGTTGTGTTAGAACACAAAATGTTTCAGCATTGTCTTTATTTATAGGAGGGGCAGTTGTTGTTGACATCCAGTTATATTCATCAGTAAACAATCAAAACACAAACTGTTGTGAAATTTTTCAGATATAGTCTTGATGGACTTCTCCATTATGTTACCTATGCTCTAATCTCTTTTTCATCTGTACAAACAGCCGGTGTTGCCTCACACTGCTGTGTGTCTAGTGTGCGGAGAAGCTGGAAAAGAGGACACTGTGGAAGAGGAGGAGGGCAAGTTTAATCTCATGCTAATGGAATGTTCCATTTGTAATGAAATAATACACCCAGGATGCCTGAAGGTGAGTCCAAGAAAATGACTCTGATAGTAGTGAAAATCAGACACAGTCACTTCTAAATGCTTAAGCCTTTTTGTGAAACTAAATGAGAATGTAGAGTTGGCTAGGGATGTTAAATTTCGATTAATTAACTATTTGAATAGTCAATGGGATTTCCTTTGATTAGTCGATAGGCACTTCTGTGTTCTGCCTTTGACATGTACAAGAGCCCCAGCGGGAGCTCTTGTGCATTTCAAAGTTGGGATTCTTGTGCATTTCAAAATGGAGGTGCTGCATGGAGCCTGGAGTCTGCAGGGAACTCGGAGTCAGCAGGGAACTCGGCCAGGGAACTGGCCCTAGGCTGCATGCTGCACTTCTTCTTTGAAATGCACAAGAGCCCCCGCTGGAGACTCTTGTACATTTCAAAGCTGGCACTTGCATGGTGCCCGGGGCTTGCGGGGGCTCTTGTGCATTTCAAAGAGGAAGGGCCCATGTGGAGCCTGGGGTCAGCGAGGGACTCCCCGCTGACCCTAGGCTGCATGCGGGTGCTGGTTTTGTACAAGAGCCCCAGCAGGGACTCTTGTACATTTCAAAGTTGGCTGCTGCTGTGCCCCTTCCCCCTCCCATGGCGCTGCAGCTGGGGGGAATCTGTTTTTAAGCTGGCTCCCTCCAGCATCCCTACTTCTTCCCTCCCCCTGCTGCTTCTTTGTCATAGAGGCAATAAGGGGGGAAAGCAACTAATCAATCATTGTGTCGACTGACTGACTGAGCTTTTGCTTATTGAGTAGTCAGTAAGTTGCTTACCTCCCTAGTTGGTTCAAGGTGCAGGTTGGCATCCTGGGAACCCAAAGCACTCTCTAAGAAGGGAGTATTAATCAAAAGGATTTAGTAGCTGTTTTATCCCTATAAGAAGAGAATTCCCTGCTTCTCAATAGAGCTTTCAAAGTTCTTCAACCTGCTTAGTGTTTGACATAAGTAAAAGTTCATCTTCTTAGATAAATAACTTCGAAGTAAGGAGTTGAACTTGTGAACTAAAACCTTTCTAAGACCTTTGAAGTTATTTAAATTAGAGATGTTAAAATGTGCTTAATTATGTAATCATGTAACCACTGAAAATTACAGTGTATTAGAGGCAGAAGCATGGAGAGATTAGGAGGGGCTGTGTGTACCCATGCATATTACCATTGAACCCAGGCTCATCAGTTAGCCATGTTAATGGTTACACTTTAACATCCCTAATGTAAACAAAGCACGTTGGAAATTAGAATATTAGAACATTGTCCTTCAGAGAAATTTAAATGTCAGTTTGGGAAGACTTAGTGAAAATTCCAGCGTTAACCCAACATCTAGCTCCTTCCTGTACCAATGAGAGTAAATGTGTGTCTTCCACCAAGCCAACCCAGCTGTTATAGGAAGGAAACAGAATTTGTCTGTTTAGATGGATTACAGTAGCATGGTTTGGTTGTAAAATAGGACATGCATGCAGTTAGGGATATTTGTGTGTAGCTGTTTACATGATTAAAAGATAAGCCTGGGCTCTTCGATTAATCCTAATGGTTACATGCAGCCCCCTCACTCCCCATACACCCAAGTGGGCAGGGAGGCGGGAGCTGGTGCCCATGGGGAGTCAGTTTTTAAGCTGGCACCCACAGTTCTGCCTGTTCCTTACACCGTTACCACCACCCTGTCCTCGCACAAAGGCAGAATCCCAGGAAGGAGGAGAGATGGGAGCCAATACACACACGTGCAGGCTCCTGTGGACCTGTCTCCCTCTCCACAGAGCACTTGCTCCCCTGTGTTTAAAAGTGCAGCTGCCAATATATTCAGAGATTAGATGTTTACACAATACTCATTTGATATCCCTGCTCCTTCCCCAATTGGATATAGGGCTGTGGTGTCCAACCAGTTCTGAAGTCACCAGTATAGTGGCTACTGTTATAGCGAACTAGACACATTCAATAGGCCAAATAGCCATATATGGCTAGTGGCTGGCATGTTAGACACCACAGGTGTAGGGTGATCTGAGGCCCAACTTGGGACGTGAGTAGGGTGAAGGATTTGTTGTCCCTTATGTTCCAGGCAAATGTGGACAAGGTTGATCTCTGGCCCAGAGTTGAGCATGAGGACTCTGGACAGACTGTGCGTGTCTACACTGATATAAAATACTCAGGGCACCAAGTCTTAGAGCCTGGGAAAGCTGACTCAGACATGGGGCTGAGGCTGCAAGCTAAAAATAATAATGCAGATGTTCGAGCATGGCTTGGAGACAAGACTCTGAGATCTCCCCTCTTGAAGGGTTTTAGAGCCCAGGCTCCAGCTTGAGCTTAGACATCTACACGGCAATTTTATAGTTTAAGCCTGAGCCAGTTGACCCGAGGCAGCCTTGATTGTGCCACAGGTCTCTGATTTTAGGGTAGACATAAACACTGTGAATGGGGTAGAAGCAGGATCTTGCACTTGGGGTGCAATCAGACGATATAAAAGATGCTGTGGTCTCTCACCTTAATCTACAGAGTAGTTTTGCCATGTACAAATACGTGCGCATTTGTGTTTGAGAGAGAGAAAGAGATGGCTTCTTTAGGTCAGCAAAAGGTTAGGACAGTCAAAAGGCTAGATTGTTCATAAAAAATCTGTTTTAGATGAGTTAAAAACCACAATCCCCACACTTACAACAACCTTCCTGCTCCTCAGAAAGGACAAGTGGTAGCTTAGTTCATGTATTTGTCCAGAACCTGTGTTCAGCAGAGGCTGACTCTGAGCTCATTGAGTTTTCCGAGCACTACCTGTGTCACAAGGCAAAGACCGTAGTCACTAGGGCACACAACAGGTATGTTTTAGATTTCAGATGTTCTAAGCATTAGCCTAACTCAGCTCCTGTTGACGTCAACAGCTACTGCCTTGAAAGGGAATAGTTAGGTCAATGCTGAACATAATTGCAAATCCCATCCTCATTATCCTCTTTGTGGGCTTTTGCATCTTCTTGATTGGGAGACTTCTGAGTCCCTCTGTTCCAGAACTGATTCTGGGAGTGTTATGCACATTGTCTCCCTCATCATCTTCATCATCATCATCCCAATTTATGGTTAAAAATGGTTTTGGTATTGCCATAATTAACTGTTTTCCAATATCCCCTACAGGCAGACTTTGTGCCTGTGGGACTCACAGGGACTCATGTCAGAAGAATGTTTTTATTCCAGACTTTGGGAACCCCATGCTCTGGATAATGCTGTCTGTGCTGTTTTTCAGCTCCCTGATCTCTGAAAATGGTGCCATTCCTTACCCAGAGGCACTCAGCTGTCACAGCTGGGGGTAGGAGGGTAGGCTGCAGTTGCTCAACATTTCTGACAATAAGGCCTTTATGTTTTAGCAAAAGAGTGATAGCACTGTACTGGAGCTAGTGGTTAGCAGGGGATGGAGTTTGTAGTCTTTCCTCCAGGGCACCTTAGTCCTAACCTGCAGTAAGCACTGCTTTGCTATTGCAGTGCACCAAACTCACATCCCCAGACTAATCCAAATTTTCCTCTGTCCAGCCCTATAACTTCACAGAGTATAGAGATATTAATTTAATCGAGTAGTCAAGAAATTTCCATCAATTACTCAATTAGTTGATTGGGGGAAACTGCAGAGTGGCTGCAAGGTTAGTTCCCCATCCCAGCAGCTAACCCCACTGTGGCTCTGTCTTTTAAATGGAGCATCTTACTTCATTTAAAAAGCAGAGATGCAGCATCTGGAACCTGGCACAAGCTAGGAATCCCGATTCCCGGTTTGTGCCCGGTCCCCCACTGTGCCTCTGCTTTTTAAATGGACTAAAAGCTAGGTGGCTCTTACTCCATTTAAAAAGCAGGGGCATAGCATCTGGGACCAGGTGCAAGCCAGAAATCAGCTGATTCCTGGCTTGTGTCCAGTCCCCCCGCTGTGCCTCTTCCTCCTCGTGCCCCTCTGTGAAGATGGTGCTAGAGTGAAGTGGCTTTTAAGCTGGCTCACCTCAGCATAGGCTCCTGCTCTCCTGCTCCCTTACTGCCTGCTTATTGGGTAGTCAGCTAGTCAACATCCCTAAGGGTATGTCTACACAGCAACATTATTTTGGAATAATTAGCATTATTTCAAAATAACTTTGCCTGCTGCGTAGACGCAAACTGTTATTTCAAAATAATGTCAAAATACTATCAAGCTAGAGGTCTTTTTACTCCAGCTCTTGCAACCCTCATTGCATGAGGAGTAAGGGAAGTCGGAGGAAGAGTGCTCTATTTCAGAAGAAGTGCTATGTTGATGCTTCCAGTTTCGAAAAAAGCTACACAATTGACGTAGCTCAATTTGTGTGGCTTATTTTGAGTTAAGCCCTGCTGTGTAGACGCATCCCAAGAGAATAAACAACATTTTTCAAGATCTATCCTGCAGGACAAACTCACTGTTTAGTGACAGTTGAAACATTATTTTCCCCAAACTAAATTTGGGGTTTCCTGACATGTGAGCTAGCTATGCAGAATGTGGATCAGCAAGTACTGCTGCTGTCATGTATATTCATGACCAGAGAATACCCAGCTGAGTGCTGGTTTGGCAGCATAGAAAAATCACTTCCAGTGTTTATGAAAATTCAGAAACGTGAGTTATTTGCAGCTCTGACCTTGGTAAATAGGTGTGGGCTTTTGGCTTTGTTTTTGCAAGCAAAACAGCTGGCAGATAATGCCCTATAGGATTCCCTTTGTCTGTCCCTGGCTTGAAATACCATGTTAGCATGGTCCTTGTTCTCAGAAAGTGTTATATCTCTCTCCAGCTTCTCTGGAACTCTCAGAATTGCAGGGGACTTATAGCAGTGGTGTATCCTCCAGTGCCTCTTCTGTAAGTCAGTGTTTCTTAAACTGTTTAAGACCGAGGAACACCAAACAATTTTTTTTATGGGGAACACCAAGGATTTTTTTTTTTTTTTTGAGCAAAAAAAAAAAAAAAAGTTGTGGGGGAAAGTGGCCATTTTGAATTCTGTGTTGTTCTCCACGGCACACCTCCGACTGCCTCACGGCACACCA